TCCTAAACTGTTCGGACAGTTTGGAATTAGCCCCACTGTGCTTTTCGTGCTAGAGTGGTCAGCTTAAGAGGACTAATCCACAGAAGCCGTCCATCCATCTTGTTCAGCACAGTGAGCCTGTAGCGAGGGAGGGGGCACGCCGCGGACCATGGGCACCACGAGGAAACCAGGCATCGAACCGCAGCAAACCCACACAGCCAGAGAGAAACCACAGCTTTCACACAACAGACCCCACACACAGAGTCAGAGGAGGGAAGGCACCTCGCCCTGGATGGTGAGGGAACTGCACTACTCACCCAACGCCACCCCCCCACAACCGCAACATCCATTTGCAAAAACAGCTACAGACTGTTTTTGTTTTGCACAAACTTTAGTTCTGACTGTTATCTTTGTTTCTGGGGTTTAGCTAAATGTCCCCCATTTTACACATGCTATGGCAATATCCGTCTGCAAGCCCCAATTGCTGTGTGATTAGCCTCACAAATTCCTGGACTGCTTTGAAGGAGAGATCACAGAAGGCTGTTTTCATTTTTCCACACTTATTTATTTCTCCCTTGCATGTAATTTTTTAAATAAGATTGATGGTGACTCTCCCAGACCAGTAGTGCCTCACTCACTCCATAAAGCACGGGCAAGAGTCAATAGATAAATAAAATCCATACATAAACAGACAAGCATCCACAGTGTGGCCTTTAAATATGTTGTAAAGGAAACCAACAGGATACAGTGTCTTTCACATTATATGACCTTGAAAAACTGTTGGTATCACGCTATAAAAATGCATGAAAAACTCAAGTCTTCTGGATGGATGGAAGATAAACCATGTGACCTGAGAGTTTTCGAGGACACAATGAGGGCACAATGTATGGGCACAATTAGGGCACAATGTATGGGCACAATTAGGGTACAATGTATGGGCACAATGTATGGGCACAATTAGGGCACAATGTATGGGCATGCTGGGGATATGATGCTTACATTTTGCTCTCTAACTAAAAACCAACAAAGTGGAAACCCAGACGCTCTCAGTCTCACTTACGATTACCAGCTGATTACCTCCCCAGAAATCTACGCCCTCCTCACACTTTACACTGCGATTATGCTAATTGGGTTCCAGAATGCTGCTCAAGTGTGACCTCGGCACTGACCTTCTCAAATGGGAAGCCATCCACCAAAGCTGGAGAAAGGGACAACTACCTCTACAAAGCCAATCAGCAGGAGAGTGGCATCATGCAGACGGCATCGACTAAGCCCCAGGAAAAGAGAGACAAGTCATTAGATCAAAGGTGCGAATCTAAGCACAGGAGATGTCCCATCTCTCCAATCACATCACACTTGGCATAATGGCATTATGGGACAATGGTTCAAAGGAATGGTAAAGCAAGTCTTTGCTAGTGCTGCTATTCTTAGCTTCCGGTTTCCAGTTGGTCAAAAGCAATTCAGGTTACAAAGGAAAGGCCTTAACGCTGAGAGCTCTTTTGATGCTGCTATCCAGAACCTTCTTTTCGTTCGATGTTCCATGAGTGCCTAAAAGCATGCCTTTCTCTCAGATTACAAGCACTTAGAGTCCCAATGAGTCAAGTGGGGTAATAATGATGAGGTGTTCTAATTAATCATGAGAAAACAGCAGAAAGCACATCTGTGATGGTGTGTGTAGCGACGATCATCTAAAGCAGCAGCAGAACAACGTCTCAAAGCTTCAGATGTTGACTTTAACATCATCTCGGCCGGAATTCTATTATATGCATATCATTCTCATTCCGTTGTTCTTTGTACGAATACGCTGCTTTGTACAAATCGCTTACGGACACGTGACTCTCATGGGATAAAAGGAGGTGATCCGAATTAACAGCCGTCTCTGTGAAGACTCAATGTTGACACGGACAGGATATTTAACAGGCTCAGTCGGCCTCGATTGGCTTTAATTGAATTATTTAATGAATTATGGTTAGATGCCAGGGATTGTAAAATCCATTAGACTCTTACAACTCGTATGGTATCTTTGTAGCTAATGTATTGTATCAATTTAATTTTCTAATTTAATTGTGACCAGGTATGGTGGTTATGTGTACTGTATGGACCAGTTTGTTAGATTAACTGCAGGTTAAACACTGCGTTGCAGTTTTTCTGTGTGTAACCCTTTCTCTGTTTAACTTTAATATTTTTTTATATTAGTTGAATACTCTAGTGTTATAGTGTACGCTTATGAGGCTTTTCCTTTGGGATCCTAAATTTTCTTTAGGATTAATGAAGATTAATCAATCATTCAATCAATCAATCTATCTATCTATATCTATCTCGGTCTGTCTATCTATCTATCTATCTATCTATCTATCTATCTATATATCTATTGAACAACTGTATAAAAACATGGTTTATAATGGGCTTCAAATATATAGAGTAAGATGCCACATAAATGTTTGTGTAATATTCCTCATAATGTGCATCTATAAACATTTTGGAAAGTGCATTCTGCATTGCTAAATGATTTGATTGAATTTACGCCTTCATCAACCACTCTATTAATCTATGACTTGGGATATATTTGTGATTGTATATCTCGCTGGAACAGACACATGTTTAAGGGATAATATTTGTTTCTAGTGCTTATGGACATAACCATCATAAATACATCTCACAAACACTGCTGAGATACTGTCATGTTCTCCATGTTCTCCCCTTCTGCTTTGAGGTGAGGATGCCAACCTATGCACAGGCTAATCCAGCAATATCATTCATATTCCAGAACATCATCTTCTGCTTTTGTTACAAAAGTGTGAGCACCTCCCTCAGCCGTCCCCGTCTCTAGGGAAGGGTGACCGTAGGACTCAGTGGAATCCCTGAAGATAGCTGGAGCTAAAGCTGGGCTCCTGACAATCGGTCCCAGCCAGAGTCCGCTGGAGATGATTTGAGGCACAACACCAAGCTCTGCCGTCCATCGTAACTCAGGAGCTAAGCTAAGGAGTCTGTCATCAGGGTCTTTCCCAGCAGTGTTCAACTACAGGGTCCAAATGACGTCATGGGGACCGCTGATACCATCTTCATGTCACATTACACCCTACTGAGACAAAACTAATTATCCGCTATTTGTGTAAGATAATTCTTTTACATGCCTTCGAGCCAATGTCCATTAACAATTTGTCAAGGACAGGTTTCAGGTTGGCATAAAACATGCTTATTTCATTCAGGAAGCTACACTCCCATCCTTCTACCTACCCCGTATTCTGGCCAGGGTCTTGTGGGGGGGGGGAAAGGAAACCCACACACCACACCGAGTTCATGCACACCCCACATGCGCAGGGAGGACAGGGCTGTCAGGCAAAACCACCGACCAACCGACCAACCGTGCCCCCAAAACTATGCATTTACACAGAATAACTTACTGCCCAAACGACACTCTACTTATCAAGTAACTCTGTCCCTTCAGACACATAAATCATTTCAAAAACAGCACCCTGACCCCAAACATGGCTTCTTGAAAAAAATAGAAAATATCTACTAACATTATAGCATACCCTGCCCTATCATGCGCATTGATCGATATTCACACCTGCAACAGAAATAACAGGCTTTCCACTAATAGAGAAAATAATTTGCTACTCAGTGAACTGCTGTGTAAGATATGAATGCGCAGACAGCCAGCATGACCAAAGCTGTTCCGCATGCGCAGACAACCAGCATGACCAAAGCTGTTCCGCATGCGCAGACAACCAGCATGACCAAAGCTGTTCCGCATGCGCAGAGAGCCAGCATGACCAAAGCTGGTCCCCAAGGGCCAAGTTTGCTTCAGAACCCCAGCTGTTAAACAGTAAATTACCTCATTTGGCACTTCAGGTGTCAGTCAGGTTCTGATTTAAGCTTAGACCCTAAAACATGGCATTCTCTTGTCCACAAGGCTCACAGTAAGTCCAGTAATGCACTTCAGACAGAACATAACTCTTCTGATACCAATAACTTGTCAAACATCAAACATACCCATATTACTACTTACTTACTTACTCATATATATATACAGTATATATATATATCCCGTTACTGTTCACTCACTCATCAAACATCAAACCAATTCAACTCCATACAATTCATTATGTCAGTCCATATTTTTTCCTCCTTCCCAGCTTCCGACCAATCAGAATATCTGGCATGTTGGGAGGTGGGAGAAAACAAGAATATGGACTGTCTGAGGTCCCTGAGGACTGGGTTGGGAAACTGCATGACTGCATTATGTGCTTCGTCAAACATAATACTTAATTCATATGAAATATAAAACATTATAATAATACTTATTTATTCCTGAAATATACTACCAAATCCATCCATCATCTATACCGCTTTACCCATCAGGGTCGCGGGGAAGCTGGCCAATCCCAGCATCATCGGGCGAGAGGCAGGGTCCGCCAGTCCTAACCCGCATGTCTTTGGACTGTGGGGGAAACTGGAGCAAACCCACGCATGCACAGGGAGAACATGCAAACTCCACACAGAAAGGCACCCTGGGTGATCCGGGGGTCGAACCCAGGACCCTTCTGCTGTGAGGCGACAGTGCTAACCACTGCACCACCATACCGCCCTACTACCAAATCACTCATTGAATACTCATCAAACATACTCCCATGCAGAGTTGGGTAATTCAGGTCAAGATAGTAAAAGTCCAGACCGGGATTTTGTTTCAACCAACCCGTTGAATATTCTGTGACTGTGACTCTTTATGCTCACCTGGTTGGTTGAAACAAAATCTCGGACTGGACTTTTAGTCTCTGGAACTGAATTACCCAACTCTGTTCCCATGTTACTCATTAAATGCTCACTAAACATGCTCCCATGTTACTCATTTGTTATTCATATGTACACCAGAGACAGTTTCACCCACAATTGATTTTCCTAACAAATAATGGTGCCTTAAGTTGTTGTGCAGCTGTAGGGATGCTTGGTTGATCATTTTACTATGACATATAGGATCATATGTTAAGCAAAAATGGCAGCATAAGCAAGAGGCTCACCATCCTCACGGGCCTTCTGGATGAAGGCTTCCACGCCGCTCTCGCCGTAGTTGCCCTCGGAGGCCACCGTGGAGACGTACGCCCAGCGCATGGCCCTGACGATGTCCACCATGGCCTGCGCCTGGTAGGTGTCGGGAGGCACCACCCTCGAGAAGAAGTCGTAGCGGCTGTTATCGCTGAGCTCCGGGGCCGTGGAGGCGTAGCTCACCTGCGGGATCTGCGGGGACACGACACGGAGCGCGCTCAGTCGCCGGGACGCATCTGCAACCCCCCAAAACATTTACGGACGTCTTTATGTAGATTTATAGAGACGGGTTCACCATTTAATCAGAGCCGGTAACTCGGTGTTTATCACTGCAGCCTCACACCTTGGGGTTGGCTGTTTACATCCCGCCTCCTCAGGTCTTCCCCATGTTTTATAGGTTTTCCTCCCTGTGGACTAGTTCCCAGTCCAAGGACAGGCAGTTAAGCAAACTGGCACTGAATTGCCCATATTGTGGACCTGCATCTTACTCTGTTTCCTAGGACATACCCCAGCCTCACAGTCAAATATCCATCCATCCATTCATCCATCCATCCATTTTCTGTACCCACTTTTCCTATACAGTAAAATGTTTTAAATATGCAGTTTATTATTATTATTATTAGTAGTAGTAGTAGTAGTAGTAGTAGTAATAGTAGTCATAGTTGTAATTTATTTATTTATACAACATTGATTTGCACTTTTATTATATAATTTTTGCTACTTTAAAAACCTCAGAACATTCATGTACAGGTATATAAGCATGAAGTACACACACAAACCAATGGAAATGTTCATGGATTTTTCAAAATATGCTTCCAAATTAAACCTACAGTACAGTACTTCATTCAGAATACTCCTGATATCTGTTAAATACCAAGACCTTCTATATATTCCATATCTATATTCACAAAGAATATAGAAATCGTGTATAGAAATCTCACCTGTTTGCTGTGTGTGGCTTTGCCTATTGTAAGAACACAATGGAGCCTAACCTGTTGACTACATCACAAGAAAGCCATCCATTGATCCAGGGTATAAAAAATGAAAGGGAGAAATGACGGAAGATATTACGTTTTCATCAATCATCACTTCGTCCCTGTGCTAGCACCTGCTGCAATCAGTAATACAACATCAAGCTTTTGTGAAAATCACCTTTTCAATTTACTTGGAACCCTCTTCTGTCTCATCTTCATGTGACAGTATATACTTCATTTAACGCTTTGTTTTGGACCTTGCCGCGTCCTTCTCATACAGTAAGTTCGCTGTTCACCGAGAGGCTGGGCGTCTCGGTGAACAGGAACACGGGATGGGACGGGATTCCTCACGGGGGGGAGGGCGGGGCGATTGGGAGCTGGTGAAGGAACACAAGCACAAATACCGTGTGGGCAATCTCCCAACTGATTAAACGGGCGAATGGGGTTCTGGCCTGGGGTAACCGGCAAATGAAAAACAGGACACACCAATACATATTTACCAAGCGAGCGCGTGGTGGAAGGAACAAATCGATACCAGCGATTACAGTCATGTGACTGTCCCTCCGGAGCTGGACATCAGCTCTGCTCACCTGCCGTGTTGCTGGGTCCTTCAATGGATTTGCTGAGACAGCAGAGATCCACAGAGATTGTGGTCAGGGGCAGATTCCTTCAGCTACCTGCTTGATGCTGTTTATTTCTTTGAACAATGCTCCATCCTACTCCATGTGTTAGTCATATTTTGTCTGTAACATCCCAGACAACACATAATAGTGCACGTCTGTATGAGCAGACTGTAGATCAGTGCACATTGGAGATACATTACACAGCCTAGACTCTGAGAGGCCTGGGGGCGGCATCACAACAAGAGTAGGGGGATGTAACTGGCCAGCTGGGAGTTCAGAACAGCTGCTCAGAGATGCCGTATATGATTGGACTGAGGCAGGTTTTTAAATGTATTTTCATTCACTCATTCATTCATTTTCCATACTCGCTTGTCTTATTCAGGCAAAATGTATTTTCCCTAAAAAATAATTTTACTTACAGGTGTCAGAGGGGACACTGCCTGTGTAAAACACACCCAATTACACATCTACATTGTACTGGTGCCCCTTGACATTCATGGTATTGGTTAGTCACTAGTTGGCCATGATCAATTAAATGGGAAAATTATAGCTATATAGCAAACCAAAGAAAAGGAAAAACCAGGAAAGCATAGTAGGTCCTCTTTAGTATTAAAAGTCTTGGCTTGGGAATGTGTCAGCAAGCAGCCTCGCTCACGACTGTCTTTGTGACCATGGAGTGTCACATTTCTCGCAGGAACTTTTAAACTTCTCAATGTTGTTAAATTGCCATTTAAGTTTCCAAAACATAGCGCCCCTAATGTGTTCAGTAGTCACTTTGTACATACAGGGGCATAATTGAGATTGTTTATATGTTACATTTAAAAGGTCTAGATAATAGATGACACAGCATTTAACAAAGTGTACAGTACAGTACTGTCTGTCTAGAAATTGGAAAGAGATTTTTTGTGCTCGTTCAGGCTAGCAGACTATTATGGGTTGAGGTTAGGGGTGTCTAAGTATTATTCACAAATGTTTCCACCCTAACCCTTGCGAATCTGAAGGGGTAAGTCTATATCGATTCATCCTACGAGCTACTTATCCATTATAGGATAAAGTACCGTCTGCACGCATTCTGCATGCTTTGGCTTGAGATCTGCGATGATTTTAGCATTCCGGGAACAAAGACCCGGAGCTACACTGGCGTTCTCATCCTAGGACTCGGGTTCTAGGTACTGTATAGATGTGAAAAAGCTGTATTTGTGCGAAGGAAGGTGGTGTGCATGGGGGAGTGGATATCAATGACGGCGATTACGTCGTTTAACGATATCAGTTGACCATTCTTTTCTTCTGTAGTCTCATTATGTGAACTGTATGCAGCCAGTCGTTTCACTATCCGACCTGCTAGAACAATCCATGTCTGGCGCCTCCACATGCCAGGAGAGCATCGCACTTCCATGGGAACCTTCGGGAAAACATGGGAAAATTCGGGAAACTCAGCAACCCGGCGGAAGCGGCCTGCCTCCCGAAAGCAGGCCGGGCACTGCTCCTCCGCCGCAGATGAACTCCAAACTCATTAAAGTGTTAAATACGCTTCATTTGGATTCTGCAATAACTTATTTGCATTTGCGCTATTGCTCTCCAAAAAGAAGTGCATTTGTGTAGTGCATTAAAAACTTTTGATTTATTTCTGCTACATTATTAATAACTATAAACACTGAAACAGTCCAAGAGCAATTAACAAATTCATATTTTATATTCAGGAGAGCAGGATGCACTCTGTAGCCACGTGCCTCAAGAGTCAGAGGGTCACTGCCTACTGCCACTCTGTTCATGTGATTTGCATACTGGCCCAGTGTTTACTTGAGTTCCATACTACAAGTGGGCCCTGTAAGAGGTATAAGTACAAGCCTGCCCCGGGTAAATAGCTTTGGAAGATGGACTTCGAAACACAACACAAGCACAGGAAAAAGCAATCGCTCTTCAGCCGTTCACTGTAGGAGAAACACGACCTCTTAAGCATCCCTCACAAGCCACACAAAGCGTTTGCTCCCCACCGAATCTGTCAAATTTCAGTTTACGGCACAATTTGGCCGACGTCATCCACAGCTTGGATGAAACCGAAGGCAGCAACAGCACCGAGCACCGAGCCTACAGCGACGGAGCTCGTAAAAACTCCTCGTATGCTACTCTAATAAAAGAGAGTTGCTTGAAAGTCCAGAAGGGCGTTGAGGAGCAAAGGATGTACCATCAGAGATGGAGATATGAACATGCTGCGGGACACCCCCAATAAAACAGGGGTGGGCAACCCTGATCCTGGAGTGCTGGTATCCTGCAGGTTTTCTATCCTACCTAATCTCAGCCAGATAGTGACTCATCAGGTAGGATGAAAAAAACCCTGTTGGATCCAGGATCAAGGTTGCCTACCCCTTCACAGTCACTGAAGCACAACCAAGCAAGAACAGTAGGCTTAAAGGGACATGTGGAGAAGCGAGTCAGTATGTTCCTAAAGAACAGGGCAGTTTCCTATTCTGTGTGGCACGTGCGCATTAGTTATTATGATGCAATGCTTTTGTTGCTACTTTTTTCACCCAGATTTAACTGCAGTCACAAACGCAAAGGTCAGCGCTGAGCAGTGGAGTTTTGTAGTGCTGCAGTGGGGCCTGTTCAGCTTCTCCAGGGGCAGACCCTCATGGGACCGTTAGGGTAAGGGTCCACAGAGACCCCGATAAGAAAAGAAATCTGAAAAATCCTTGCCAATAAACTATAAACAAAAATAATAATAATAATAATAACCACAAAACTAGCCAAAGCGTCTCTTCTCCGACAGCCAGCTAGCCCTCAAAATAACCCCAACAGGACGGTCAAGCCCACTAAAGCCAGCTGCATCTCACTGACCGCTAGCAGGAAGCCAAAGGCTGGCGATTACTTGCCATGGTGACACAGGAACTTTCAGAAGCCCCGCCCTGGCCTGGTTCTGGCCTCCCATTGGCTCACACTTGGTACGCTTCAACACACTGAATCACACACAGGTTGTTTTGGTCTTATTTTGTTTTGAATTTTTCTTCTCTTCTATTCTATTTCAGTTTTAGTTTAATTTCAGTTTACTTTTATCTGGCTTGGAAACTCCTGCCTGCAGTTTAAGGGATAGTTTTTTGTTTATATTTTAGTTTTCATATTAAATGATTTTAACCGTTAACTAACACTTTTCAAAAACAGGCACCTTCCTAAAATAAAAACATGTATCTAATATTATTTCATATTAGTTTAACTCCTCCTATTCGGCCCTACACTACAAACCATGTGCCTTGGAGCTGTCCAAAAAAAAAATCAGTTCTAAACCTGTAATCTGTAAAGCAGTACTAAAGCTACAATAATCTGTGAATGAGTACTGAAACATCTGTAAAACACCTGAATCTCTTACTAAGTACTGAAGCATTTGTAAATCACCTGTAATCTCATACCAAGTACTGAAGCAGCCCTAAACTGAGAAACAACATCAAAGGACCCTTAAAGGTTCTCTAATCTGTGAATGAGTACTTATGGATTCCTGAAGCAGCTACAATCTGTGAAGCAGCAGTGAAGGATCCCTAAAGCAGCTCTAATCTGTGAATGAGTACTGATGGATTACTGAGGCAGGTATAATCGGTGGAGCGAC